ACGCGTGGTAATTCGACGCGTGGTAACTCGATCCGTGGTAATTCAACGCGTAATAATTCGAGGCGTGGTAATTCAATGCGCCATAATTCGACGCTTGGTAGTTCAGTACATGGTAATTCCATACATCACACTTCAATGCGAGTTAATTCATCGCACAGTAATTTAATACATGGTAGTTCGACACGTACCACTTCAGCGCATGCTATTTCAACGCGTGATAATTCAGCATACACTTCAATGCATAATAGCCCCTACAATTTCAATGTGTGCTAACACAGTACATGCCGATACAACGCTCAGTATGTAGATCTATGCATCGCAATACCAACGCATAATAAAAAACCTCCGAACTAAATAAAATCACCTCCCCCCATTTTCCTACGAATTTCCAAGAATACCCTTAAAGTCTCAAACCTTAACTTCCAACGTTGAAATGTTTCTGCTACCCGAGATCTGGCGTATAGAAAATGAACAACAGACTCTGTCCCCGAGTTAAGGTATTAAATTGATGAATGAGTCACGAAAACGGAAAACATTTCATCGTATCACGTTGGCCAGTGACTAATAGAACTTGTCCAACTCGATTATTCGGCTTGAAGATGCGTAAGCTTAATGGCCGTTGGCCAAGTTCGAGACACGTTGCTTAAGTGACTGATGTTTACGGATTATTCGAAAAATCCTGTGACCTAAGGTTCGTTTTCTGTTCGAGATAAATCAGCCAGGACACACAGCTCGTGTATTAATATGGAACGCGATGTAATGAAAAAAATTACGTAACGAAGACGAAAAACGATACAGGCAAACAAGGGTAGAGAAGAAGAAAAAAGTTGAAGATGTGGCTCTAAGGCGGTGGCTTGACAGTTTCGTCCACCCTTCGCCATTAAGTAAATTGACTTCCACATACCGGTAGACTAAATAACAATCTAATTTCCATAATGCGTAAACGACGTCTTTTTTCAAACGCCCTGCTTATCCTTATTTCGTTACGTTGTGACCTCGAGTGGACTGTGTTAATGGACACGCGTAAACAATTTGATGCTCGAACACTCGTGTAGTGTTTCATCGTTAATTTCGTGAAATATGTGTTATGTAATATAAAGAATTATATTAATCGCATTAGCAAAGTTACTGTTGTGGTGATTCGACGCTTGGTAATTCCACGCGTGGTAACTCAAGCTTGGTAATTCGGCGCGTGGTAATTCGACGCGTAGTAATTCCACGCGTGGTAATTCCACGCGTGGTAATTGAACGCGTGGTAATTCGACGCGTGGTAATTCAGTGCGTGGTAATTCGGCGCGTGGTAATTTGACGCGTGGTAACTCCACGCGTGGTAATTTGACGCGTGGTAACTCCACGCGTGGTAATTCGACGCGTGATAATTCCATCCATGGTAATTCGGCGCTTGGTAATTTGACGCGTGGTAACTCAACGCGTGGTAATTCGATGCGTAGTAATTTGACACGTGGTAATTCCATCCGTGGTAATTCGACGCGTGGTAATTCGACGCGTGGTAATTCGACGCGTGGTAATTCGACGCGTTGTGCAAAAATGGCGGTAAATTTGAATTACTTAAAAGAGATAAAGGGGTGTAATCAAGGTGTTCACAGTCCGAAGATAAATATCCATGTTAAAATTATAATTCAGTTGTTACCTACTATAATCAAAATTATTACTCAATATTTGTAGCAATGATCTAAACATTGCAAAGTCCTAAAAGGATGAAATGAAGACCATAGCGGTCAGATAAATACGGGCAAAATAGAATGACGTAATGGCGTCGACACCCGGCAACAGCTGATGCAATTTGATCCAGATTCGGGGGTTAACCCTATCGGTCTAGTGTGTACACTGGACAGGTTGATTTCTTAGGACACTGACCAGCTGTGTTGGACAACAAACGATTGTCGGTCGATGGATTAAACTTGAGCTTAACTCTCGTATATTGGCTTTAACTCTTCCGTGGACACGTTGGACACGTACGTTGGACACTGACGTTTGTAATTAAGATCGAGAAGAATAGAAGTCAAGCAGATGTCCCTCAGAGTGACATAGTATGTTACATTCATTTTGGATGTTACATTCATTAATCTTACTTCTTTAATTCTGTCTCAGTATCTCTGTTACTATTTATGAGAATAGAGATATAATTCGACTGTGTATAGACATGCCCTATTTAAAATAATTAAATACTTAGTTTCACTAATTTGTGACAAAGAAAATCAATTTTGTCCTAACTCCTGTTAATTCAGTCCGCCATATTGGATTTGAAAATATTTAATTATAAATTTTATATCTGATAATCAAGAAATGATCAAGTAATTTTGTGCATTATAACATCATTTTCTAACATTGTATGAATCTAAGAATGAAGTCGATAATTTTATAATAAAATGGAAATAAAAATTTGTTACAGCAGCGAAGTCCAATCCAAGTGTCGGAGAATACGGTGGCAGCAGCGTCGGCGGCGGGACCGCATCTGCATATGCGAACACAGCGAACGGTCCAGTGAGCTGCCTTACCGGCGGACCATTAGTCGGTATAGCGGGTGGCTTCAACAACACCGGAAGAACCAACTTCACGAACAAACAGCTCACCGAACTAGAGAAGGAATTCCATTTCAATAAGTACCTGACTCGAGCGAGACGCATCGAGATCGCGTCGGCGTTACAGCTGAACGAAACGCAAGTGAAAATTTGGTTCCAGAACAGAAGGATGAAGCAGAAGAAAAGGATGAAGGAAGGGTTGATACCGAGCGAGAACACGACTGTGACGCCACTCGGCGGCGCTAGGAGTAGCAGCAATTCGCCTACCAATTCTTCGACTCACGAAACCAACAATCTTGGTTTATCTAATTTTACCAGCGACAATAGCCGGGAGTCACCGCCTTCTTCGGCGAAAGATTGACGCGTTCCCTGCTGCAGCAACGAACGATTATATGGTTTGCGACTTAATGATGATTGGTGAACCGAAAGAGGCAAATATTATTTTAACCTTTTGCACTCGAATTTGACAGTTTGCAAACAGCAACTTCAAAACTACTATTTAAAAAGTTAAACAAATTCTTTTGAAGTTATTATTTCTCTACTAATAATTTCCACTATTGCTACACTATGTTTATACATCACACGTGTCATATAAAATCAGTTAAAAAATGCTTATTTCAAGTTATTGTATTAAACAAAGTGACTTAGAGTCATCTCTCAAGTGCAAAGGGTTAATGCGGATGATAATTGAAATCTTGCTGCTGCAGCAAACTGATTCCTACTCTAAATGTAAAAATTGAAGCTGATCGAGAGAGAATTATTGTAACGATATATTATGCAACATAATCTTCAGATGAATTATCAAAATTAATAGAAACTAGAATAGAGAAATTCGACTACACATGTACCGACTTAAGTAAACTATTTATTTTTGTTTTTTAACTTTATGTAAGTCGCAAAGTCAATATTTGTAGAATTGGTCTGAGAGTTGGTGAAAATAATTCTGGAGGGTTACCGTATACCTCAGTTTGTGTAAATGGTATAACGATATTTATATATATAATTATAAATACCAATGATTAATCAACGTATATTATGTACAAAGATTGTGAAAATACTACTTTAGGATGCTTCTTATTTGCATCTAGAGATTAATCTTCTTTTTGGCGAGGACAATTATTGTTTAATGTTATCATCCTTGTTATTCCATAATTTCTGACATGATTTGCTTCTTGTTTTTCTTTGTACCAAATTCAAAATTTAAGGAGTAATTAAAAAATTCTTAACTATGAATCAATGTGAATTTTATATTTTTGAGCTAATTAGATCTTAAAATACTATTTCAACTATAGTGTAACAAGGAATTCTTATAAATATATCTTGATAATAATAAATTTAGGTATAATGTAATGATAGCATGATAACAGTAGTTGTGCTCCCAATCTGTATGTATATGTACATAAAATCTAATATAAATCTTGCACCAACCATAGTGTACATCATTATGCAGTAAAATATTAAAGAAACGAAAGACGTAATAAAATAGTAAATATTTATAAACTTGATCTCTCGTCATGTAAAACACAGAAATGAAAAAATAAACTGTATAATGAAATCATTTCAAAATGGTAGCAAGACTTGTATAGATTCTATTTAATTTAATTTGACCACTTGAAAACTAACAAACCAATGTAATCTTACAGTTCCATGGATTATATCGATCCGTTAAAAAATTCTGTACCTAAATGAATTTAAATATAATAAATTGTGATTATCCTGTAGTACTACGTAAAATCTTGTAGAAAGAATAAAGTATTAGTACTTACTCTGCAAGGAGAACTTGTGAATCCCATAAAATTCCAAAATGAAATAATTTGAAAAAATAAAATTCAAATAAACGTACACTTTGTCTGTCATCAATTTCCCACATTCCTTGATCAATTACAATTTCCCGGTATGTTTGAAATAAGATCGAATACAGGCTGAGCAACCTTCTATTACTTGTAAATTGGTAGCACTGCAATGTCATAACAACGAACATCGAAGTTCAGGTGATCCAGTTACATCGTATTGTAAATGAGTTTCATGAATTTTTATGAATTACTCAATTCAGTGTATTGACACTGCGTATAATTTATAATTATAAACTCCATAACCTCCATGCGTCTTACTCATAAAAGAAAGGTACTTAAAAATATTGTAATAAAAAGATTTAATGTATTTTACAAATAGTTTTCGTTTCGGTTCAGTCGGAAAACAGAAATGATTATAATGAACATAAAAGATTAAGAAATGGAAAATATAGAAAAATACAGTGCAAGAGTAAATACCAATGAATTACTTGCATACCAACGAGATTTAAAAAAAGAAAAAGAGCTTCTTCAAAACATGTTAACAAAGATTGATGACCAAATACACAGATTACAGGTAAATATATTTGTAATTTGTTAGTTCTTTTCTATGTACAACAATGTTGTTTGACAAAAATTTTAAGGTGGAGCAGCTTCATTTATTGGGATTAGCGAATAAATCTTTGAAAGGTTCTGAACAGTCAGATAAATTGATAAGCGATGATGAAGAAGATCCTATAAACAAATCCTTAGATTTATCTGTAGCCCCAGCTTTCAAACAATATGAAGAAGAAATAGAAGATGAAGATGACATTTAAACATAGTTAAGTGAATGTTATAATCTGAAGGGAACATAAATTATATACAATATATATAACTCTTGATATTTTGTTAAGTCCACTTTTTTATAAAAAGTAAAACTAAACTTCATAAATTGTCAATTTATTTTTATAAATATGTCTCTTATCAATATAATTGCTATCTTTACGCTAACTGTCTTATCTTTTAACAGTTCAATAAAGTACAGAAACAACATTAAATAAAAACCAAACTATTATTATTTCTTAAATCAAGGAGTTGAATTGTCTATACAGATTTGATGCACTGGCAATACGATAGCTTTCAACTACTGTTGTTTCAAGCAATATGAAACGTTTTGTACTTAATTAGTTGAAGGTAATTTGAAATGTCTCTAAGTATTTATAATGTTTTATGATGGATGACCCTGTGATGTTTGTCCCAGATGCGTTGGGTCTTCCGTGAAAGATGGAGGTTTAAATTGATCCGCGGATAAACGTGTGACAAATATTCCAACACCTTCTATTAAAGCCAACAACACTCCTCCGATAATTGCACTACCAGCCATAGCTGGTAAACCGTTTCTGGCCGCTAATATTCCACCAGTAGCTGCCCCGCTAATAATGGAGTTCCAAGGATCTTCTTTTTTCCTTAGATGTACCAATGTACAATCTATCGTAGAGAACATTCCACCCCATAGTGCAAAATTTCCAGCAATAATTGGGGATCTCTGTTTGACAGCCATTAGACTTCCCATAAACCTCTTGTTTAGTCCACTGGGTGCATTGCGGAAACCTTTAATACTTTGAAATACAGCACCACCGATCGCACCCATCGTGAATGCACCACCACAGTCATCTACTATACGCCAAGGGCATGGTTCTCTCGCGTACTCTTCCATTCCTCAATCAATACTCTATAAATAAAACGCTAAACTGAAACAATATAACATTTCTTTAAGGGTCTATGCTGTTTTATGACTTACATTTATGTAACACGATTCTCGTTTAATTTTAAGAAAACAGGGTAAAGTGTTAATTATTTCTTAACTTATGAAACTTATAGTTTAAATTAGTAATTTTATCATATTTCGGATATTAGTCGATATAATATATACCGAAAAGAGTATGAAAAAATAACCTTTAACACCAGCTCTTTCGAATTTTATACCGGCAGTAGTATTTGTTTAACTTTGTTTTTGTATACAATTTATTCGCCCGAACGTGTTACGTAAAAATAACATTCATGTACATCTTCATGGGTCATATAAAAAACAGATATGAAAAATAATATATAATCACAGATTGAGGTTATGTACATTATTCTCGTGTACGCTTCGTTAACACGTGCATAACAATTCAAGAAACTGTAAAGCATGCGACACGGCAATAATTCTCATTATAAAAATTGGAGGTTCTTTTCGTATTTACCATAAAATTCGTTTTAAATACTTCCTCTGCCGAGGGAAAAAGATGCCCCGTGCACGACACTGTAGTGACTGTAACTACGTTAATGAACCTTCTTACAAGTACAGTTTTTTATAATCGTATAAAAACGAAACAGTCAATGTTAACGAGATATAATAAACGATTATTTTTTCAAGATAGTTTAAATAATTTTTATTCGACGATTTATTAATTTATTTCCCTTTAAAAATATTCATGATCACGTTTGAATTCCTTCGTATATACATATAAAATGATGTCTTAATTCCGTCCCACATTGCATGATGCTTCAAAATAGAAAATTACATACAATTACTCGAGTTACGAATAGCGCAATTTGACATATATATGAATACATAATCGATCGAATTTTTACGTCTTAAACGAATGGTCGATCGAACATTTTTATGTTAACTAACTCGATTCAAATGTGCGATACAACCTGCAACCGGTTGGACTATAGACTGGCGCACGTTTACGATAGTTTAAAATAGAATCAGCGGAGAATGTCCAAAAATACATCATACTTTTGGTTAGTCGTGGATATCCAGTCGTTTTGGGTGAAAGTAGCATTCGTGTTTGACGGAAACATCATATCCCGAGAAGCGTGTCGTAGCTTCTGTTAGATTTCGGTAATCTCAAAATTCTCCTCATGATCGATTAAAGTTCCAAACTGAAACGTTATTTGATAACGAGCTAAGCATAGTGTACAATATTAATCACTTCCTTCCACAAATTTTCACGTACAATATCGTATGCCAAATATTCGATCGATCGCATAGCGATCGTAGGTGAAAATGAGAAACAAATTCGCTTTTCCTCTGTTCTACAACATGTAAAAGTGACACTTCTTGCAGATAAAAAATGTCAAACAACGAGATTCTTGGATCAGATCACGAACTGACGACGTCTGATCAAAACGACACGAAAAATGCACCGTCGACTGAGGATGCAGCCCCTGCACTGGAGAACCGAAATACAGAACCTACTTCCAGTAACACGAACGATCAAACGGTAGCTGATGAGAAAGAAAGTTGCAGCGAAAATTTGAAAACCGAAGCTTCCGAATCTGCGGGAGAGACAGTCGAGAAGACTTCAAAAGTTCCTGAGGTGCTGCGATTCGTTGTAAAATTAACTGTTTAGGTGCCAGCTGTAGAATGTTCGATGAGTAGCAGTGTCTATACAGTAGACTCTATATTACCACTAGTTATATAGACGAAAGTAGAGAATTTTTGAAATTGACTATAATTATGTTAGTGAAAGAATGTTTTCATTCGATAATATGACGAATTCTTTAAATTATATGATAGTATGAGGCGATCTGTAAGGTGTGACGTAAAGATGGCAATATAACGGTGATTCGACGAGTGGTAATTCGACGCGTGGTAATTTGACGCGTAGTAATTCCACGCATGGTAATTCGGTGCGTGGTAATTCGGCGCATGGTAGCTCAACGCGTGGTAATTCCACGCGTGGTAATTCGGCGCATGGTAGCTCCACGCGTGGTAATTCGGCGCGTGGTAATTCGGCGCATG